TCTGCTTCTGGACGGGCATGATCTTGAGGACCTCGTCCTTCAGGTTGGAGCCAAGGAAGAAGTCGATGATCTCGAATTCTTTGATTGGCAAAGAGAACAGGTAAATGTCCTCCAACTTTTGGATCTTGCCATCGCGGACCAAACGACCCAACTTGGTTACTGGTACCCATTCCTTCTGGTCTTCCTTTCCACGACCACGTCCACGGCCGCGACCACGACCCCTACCACGGGGACCTNNNNAAATAATTAATAAATCAAATTAATCTTAGTTGCCAACGATGAAAACAAATCCAACGTAAAAGAAACAAGATGGCCGAGGCACGCGCATCCACGTGCAAAAACCCATTGGATTATTTTCAGCAAATCACAACAAAATAATTAAATAAAACACAAGAAAACAATCACTCACTAAATGTAAACAAAGCGTTTACACTAAATTTTTAGATATTTGCTTGCATTTTAATGAAAAAAATACGAAGAGGTTACTTACGTATTATTTCTTCGACAAAAGTGTCTGACAGAAGAAAAAGAGCAATATCAAAGAAGCATAGAATTGCCGGCCCTTATATAATCTCGCCATACGCGCGTTTGCGCAAATCAGATTGTAACTTCAGGGTTGCCAATACCCTAAAGAAACCTACCCGCGCTACATTATTCTATCTATTATTATTTAATTCATTCATTACTTTTAAATAGAATTGCATTATTTATTCCAATTATATTTCAGTTTGAAACTCGCTTAAATAAAAAGAATCCAATGCACTGAATAACAATAATTAGTAATGCGGATATCTATATAATTTTCAAATATTTACTTTAGACAATAAAATTTGAATTTTGAGGATGATTTTCAATATGAAGAAGAAAAGACAAAGAGAAAACAACGAGAATGTTCATCATTAAGATAATTTGGTACATATAAATTGGTGGCAATAAAACTACTGAAGAATATTGCCATAGGCCAGATAAAGTTTCAGATCACAACACTTTATCTTTCAAATTTTTTAATTTACCATTTTCTACATATATGATTGATGATGATGCTGAATCTAAAAACAATGATGATATTATGGATTCTCTTAAGAAGCATATTGGAAAGAATTGTGACATTGAAAATAGGTTTATTACATTAATGTTTGACGAGATGGTGGTTTTTCGTTTTTTTTTTTGGATATAATAATCTAAGAGGAATACTGGAAGGATATGACGAGCGCTATTTTGAAAACACGTATGCTGTACCAAATCATTTTTTTGAGATAGTACCAGATCACATTCAAATATTCATAGTGAGGAGAGTTTACAAGAAATGGCAATTACCTGTGAGCTATATATTTATCAAAGGAATGATGGAAACCAGCACTAAAGTGGATTAGATAAAGGAAATAGTGAGAAGGTTAACCAAAATGGGATTTGTAGTTACAGCACTCATATGTAATCAAAGCATACAAAATTGTGCTGCAATTGAAATGCCCAAGGAAAATATTATAAAGATTGGCAAAAGTGAAGTCGTTCCCATTTATCATATATCTCATTAGAAACCATTTACTAAATAAAAATTTGAAATTTATTATGATCTGCCAGATGGGAAGACATCAAAACAACATATTTAATCGATGCAGCGAGGGTTCCGAGAGCATTAGATGAAATTACAGCAACTACAGCTACAAGTTTTAATGTTGATGTAATAGATATTAAAGAAGATAATTTTGAGAGATATGTTACAAAGAAATCCAAGCATTTGCAAAGACGCGATGCCGAAGAGATTATGAAAACTACGCGATTTGTGAGTGAGGAAAATGAAACGAAGCCACTATACTGAGTAATTTATCAATTTGCACGCTATTCTATTGAATACGAAGAAAATTAGTTGTTTGCCGACAAAATGTTTTTATCAAGATCCTTTGGAAAACATTTTTTGTATATTAAGACAAACAGAGCGACCGAATAAAAGTTACTAATTCTACTAATAAATACAAATCAAGATGATAAGTAACATATTTGAATAATTTAACTATCAATTTATATTTGATTTTAGGATTGGATGGATCTGGACAAAATAAGTATAAAATAATTTGAAAATTAAACAAATATGGATTGTTTTATATACTTTTTTTAATACGTCTTTTATTAACTTTTCGAATATTTTTTATCCTTTTCTTGTAGAATGGGACTGAACCTGCAAAACAACAATCACATTTAATAATGAAATTTCTTTTTCCAATTTGACAGTATAATAGAAATGCAGTTCTGATTTGTAAATAATATCTGTACATCAGCGTATTTGTCCAATCACAAGAATCAAATTGGCAAACATAGAAAAACGTACATTTTGATATCCACAGTAATAGGGAACGCCCTCCAACATACAGATACAGTCGCAAGGAGCTTTTCTGTGGCTTCAAAGCTTAATTATATATACAGTCTTTTAATTACCTCTTAGTAATAATTCCAAGTGAAATTCTATTGAGGAAGTTCATTCTGCATCCATAAGAAACCTAGAAAGCAAAAAAAAAACTAACATTAATCATTGGTATTTAATAAATTTCAGTTTGAAGATGTTAAATTTTGCAACTGTTTGTACATCAGCGTATTTGTCCAACCACAAAAATCAAATTGGCAAACATAGAAAAATATACATTATAATATCCACAGTAATAGGGAACGCCCTCCAACATACAGATACAGTCACAAGGAGCTTTTCTGTGGCTTCTGAACCAATTATATAAAAAAATCATAATAATTAAATTACCTTTTAAACAAACAGAAATTCCAATCCTGCATTATTTTAATGGTGGTCCAAGGGTTGGAAATCATATCTAGAAAAGATGGAAAATTCAAATTTAGTAAACGCAGACCTCACATAGAGATTAAAATATTAATAGCTTTGGTCATAGCTCTCACACATAGTTTTCTATTTTGTTAAATGTGCATCAACGTTTTGCATAAATATAAGTGAATTTAAACATTTGTCTTGGTAACAGTGAATTAACCAGTCAAGAATACAACTGATTAACATAGCAAGTACCAACGTTTGCTCTCCACAGTTTATAGGGAACGCCCAATAGCTTTAATAATGCAGATACTGGGAGCTGTGCTGTGGTTTGAAAGCGACAATTGTTATGTGTCCAGTAAACAATAATTACCTTGCAATAACATCAAATCCATCACTTGTTATGAATGATCCATTATGTTGGAAAGAAATCTGGAAAAGATAATATTCGCTTTAGTAAAATCAATCACCAATAAATTCAAAGTTTATATTCATTGCTCTTTTTTACATTGTTTGTATATCAGCGTATTTGTCCAATCACAACAATCAAATTGGCAAACATAGAAAAACATACATTTCAATATCCACAGTAATAGGGAACGCCCTCCAACATACAAATACAGTCACAAGGAGCTTTTCTGTGGTTGAAAATTACAAAAATAAATATAGTGAAACTTACGTTTATCTTTAAGATGGAAGTAAATGTAACGTACATCATCCACAAGACAAAATCTGAAAAATAAAATATAATTTTAGAAATCTATATTCAATGAGAAATTAAATAATTATTGAATTACTATTGAAGAAACTGGTCAACTGTTTGTGTCTGAGTTTGGTGACTACTAAATCAATTATCAGCATCACAGCAATAACACAAAGTGATCTCCACAGTATAAGGGAACGCCCTCTAGCATATGATTACAGTTACAAGGAGCTTTCCTGTGGTTACTCTGTTTAAGAAGCAAATTTAAAAGAAAACATAACATACCTTAAATGAAAACCTCACAAGCCACATCAAAATTTGCATTCTTGAATATCTTCTTAGTCTCAGTGTAATGAATCTGCAATAAATTTTTGAAAATTAGAAATACATTCATTACAAATAAAATAACTTTGAATGTAAAATATTTTGAATCAGGATTCTAAGGCCCTCATCAGGATTGTAAGTCCCTAAGGTGGAAACCACGAAAGAATAAAATGAGATCATCATGTTAATTGAATATCAAAATATTATAATATTTTTAAAAAAATTATCTTACCACAAAATTTTTGAAAACGACGTTCTTCTCTGACTTTGAATCTGGAATAGAAATATAGGAAATTATAAATTTGATAATAAAAAAAATATCAGGACTTTGTGAATTATAATAAAAGAATCAGGATTCTAAGGCCCTCATCGAAGTTGTTAAACCTCTAAGGTGGAAACCACGAAAGAATTAAAGAGATCATCATTGTAACAATAATAATATAAACAAAACTGATTGAGAATAGTTCTTACCATTTTTCAAATTTTGGATTATTCAGCTCAATTGATTGATAGATGTTGTGGATCAGTCTGAAATTGAAAAAATTACAAAATTAATATTGTGTCAATAATAAAAGGATTTAATATTATTAGTATTAAAGGAGTCAGGATTCTAAGGCCCTCATCGAGATTGTTAAACCTCTAAGGTGGAAACCACGAAAGAATTAAAGAGATCATCATTGTAAAAAAAAATTGAACAAATTCTTATTGACTTAATAAAAATAATCAAAATCTTACCTTTGGGTGAATCCCATTGATTTCAATCATTTGGTTCAAACATTGTGTATCCTGAAATAATAGAAAAAAATACATTGAATACTTTCCATAATGTAAAAATTTTATAAATAGAATTTGCAAGAAATTATCAGGATTCTAAGGCCCTCATCGAAGTTGTTAAACCTCTAAGGTGGAAACCACGAAAGAATTAAAGAGATCATCATTGTAAAATTGAAGAAATTCTTATTGACTTAATAAAAATAATCAAAATCTTACCTTTGGATGAATCCCATTGATTTCAATCATTTTGTTCAGACATTGTGTATCCTGAAATAATAGAAAAAAATACATTGAATACTTTCCATATTGTGAAAATTTTATAAATAGAAATTTGCAAGAAATTGTCAGGATTCTAAGGCCCTCATCGAAGTTGTTAAACTTCTAAGGTGGAAACCACGAAAGAATTAAAGAGATCATCATTGTAAAATTAAAGAAATTCTTATTGACTTAATAAAATAATCAAAAATTTACCTTTGGGCGAATCCCATTAATTTCAATCATTTTGTTGAATCATTGTGTGTCCTGAAATAATAAGGAGAAATAAATTAATATTTTCCATAATATGAAAATGTTATAAATAGAAATTGTAAAACATTGTCAGGATTCTAAGGCCCTCATCGAAGTTGTTAGACCTCTAAGGTGGAAACCACGAAAGAATTAAAGAGATCATCATGTGAATGTTTACGAATTTATCCAATTGTAATAATAAAAAATAAATACTTACATTACGGTCATCTTTGTACATCTTGTTGCGTAGGTGCAGCAATGGTTGCCTAATCTGCAAATTAAAATAATCCGAATTAAATACGTATTCCAATATGATAAATATAATGTTTCTTATTTGATATTATCAGGATTCTAAGGCCCTCATCGAAGTCGTTAAACCTCTAAGGTGGAAACCACGAAAGAATTAAAGAGATCATCATTACATAACCTAACTGTTGCATGTGCTCAAGACAATTGATTTTAAAACGGTAATTCGAATAATCAAACGATTAAAAGTATTAATTCCGAGAGTTCTTTAACAGTTTTCTTTAAGAATTTGCAATAAATAATATGACAAAAAGAAAATAAATAAACAGAAACTTACGTGAAAATTGAAGCACATGGTGCGTTCTTTGATCGCAGGAAACGAAAAGAATTTTTTGAAGATGGACGCATCCTTTTATATACCGGAACTGAATGGAGGCAATGGTACCAACGCTATGATATGCGAATCCACTAGGATTGTTAGAATTGTAATATAATTAGTAACCATATACCAATGGTATAAAACATAAATACTGTTTTTTTTAATTTGAATTAATAATTTAATTTTTTTATTCTTGAAAATCGCCTTATCTTAGAAAAAAATATATTTAGTGTGTTTGTACATTAAGAAAATTAACATTCTAATGAATTAGTTATATATATAAAAAAAAGTTACTTGATCTAAGAAATCGTTTTTTTAATTTATTGGTAATTAATTATATGATTTCGTTTGTTTTTGAAGCCTAACCTTATTTTTTTTAAATTTTTTACAGTTTGGATTGGGATGATGGAAAGTTTTTTTTGGGTCGAATGAGAAGAATGCGTTTAAAATTTTCTAGTAATATATTATTTTGAAAATGTTGTTTTTTGGGTCCTCTTGATTCACGTTCATTTCAATTATTCTTGTTCGTCATTTTTTTTTTCTTCTCCTCTTTTGTTTCTTTTCATATTCATTTGTTTTTTGTTTTATTTGTAAATATAATAATAATAATAACATAATACCAATATATATCATCATCTTCATCGTCATAATAGTTTCATCATCATTGGCTGCTCATTTCCCTAAACTCGTTTCCTTTATACAACATACAATCATCACGCACATATATAAATATATACATAGTGTTATGTACAGAGTTTCTAGATATATTTATATTTGTGAGTGTTTATAGACATATTGGTATTATGATCTAAAGAAGGTCACTTTTCACATCCCACCTCTCTTCTCATCGAGAAAGAAAATCATCAATTGTATCCGAGTAAGAGCGCGTGTATGCATACATGCATGCATGCACGATTTCTACTCTCTCGACTCTTACACATTATATTGCAAGTACACTAACTTGGCGTATTACTCCCAAGCAGCAAGACGATAGATAAATATACACGTTCCCCACATTGAAACAATTAAACGAGAATAAATACTGTTCCGGAAAGAACTCTTTGATTGCTCTTCGATGATTCACATACAACAAGAAAATAACAAACCAAAAAAAATACAAAAAAATAAATAAAATACAAATGGAAAAGTAATAATATTCATTTACATTTTCAAAATTAAAAGGAAAAACAATTGCTCTTCGATGAGTTAACATTATTCAGTAACAACAACTCTATATATAGAATATATTAAACAAAGTCAAGAAAGAAAAACGCAATGCTCTTACAGAAATGGTCAGTCGAGATAAAGTCTTATTAATGTTTTTTTAGTTTGTTTGGTATTGCGAAATGTTTGATTTAGAAATTTCCCAAAAAAAAATAATAAATATATTGACATGCAGTTGACGTCAGTCGCTCGGATTCCTTCTTTTGTTTCGATCAACAAACGAATCCTGTGCCAAATTTGATTTGCGTTGCCTTCTCCGATCAAATAAACGCTCGAAAGTATAAAACAAAACAAAATAAAAAAGAACGAATCGTATACGCGCCCCAGCCCTCTCCAATTTCCGTTTGGTCCCAAACAAATGAAAAATAAAAATTATATACAATAATATGAATAATATAAACAAATTACACATTTTTTGATTGAAAGAACGATTCATTTACTTCGTTAGAATTAATTGCGTGTGTATGTGATTGAATTAAAAGAACGGTCGCGTTCTGATTATCGTCTGAAAGAAAACTTGTAAAGAAAATGAAAAAAAAAAAATAATACCCAAAAGAATAAAAATAATAATCATAGTTTTTTTTTAATAACTATCGAAAACTGTTATGTATAAAGACAAAAATTGATAACAGCGAAAACAAAAGATTAATATAGAAAGAAATTACACGAAGAAAAAATAATAATAATAGAATAATGGTTGAGTGTTATTTTTCGCAATAATATTATAGAGTAAGAATAAATTAAGGAAAAAATAATAATAATAATAATAAACGAAAATAATTGGTATACTATATACAAAATAATAATATATATATATAATAAAAGTAACATAAAATATTGATTATTAACATATTTCCTCTGCTCAAGTGTAACTAACCGTTTCAGATCTTAAATCTTGCAATCTTCCAAAAAGAAACTATCGTGATTGGTTCTGCGAAAATTGCAAAATGTTTCCTCCAGAGTTGACCAGGTGTTCAGTTACTTCGCATTTTACATATAATATATATATATATTATCTATATATATTATGATCTCGATACAAATTAATAATTTAAAATTTATAAAATATTACAAATTTACAACTTTATATGGTAATAATAATAATAATAATAGTAGTAGTAGTAAATATAAATCTTGTCTTCGTTTTGTTTCCTATAATATTTACATATTATAAGTGGACTTAAAGACTAAGAGCGAAACAAAAATAATTATTATAAGACAAACAATAATGTATGAAAAAAAAAATTAAATTAAGTAATAGAATGAAAATTATAATAGTAATCGTAAACAAATCCGCAACGAATTTTCTCGCCATCCATCACTCTTAATTATTATTATATTATTTTTTGTTGTTGTTGTTGCAGTATATAAATTCTTCCTCTGCGATCGATCGTTTATGAATGTTTGTTTGTTTCTTAGACTCATTAAAACCATTGTAACGTAGTAGTTATAATATTTTAATTTAAAAATAATAGTAATAATTATTAATGATAGTTGAAAAACATTAGAAAATTAAAAAAAAAACTGAAACTCTTTCCTAGGCCACTCCCACTCGTTCGCTCCGCCCATCCCTTTAGATCACGCCCGCGGAGACGCGTCGCATCGTTCATGCAATTATAATTAATTAATTTAGAGCGTACGAAATAACTTACAATATATACAAAAATATACACTATATATGATTTTCTTCTTGTCACTTAATTTAATTACAATTTATTTATGGTAGATATATAATAAATATATACATATATTTGTTATGTATCTTTTTTGTATTATTTCATTTTCTCTCTTCCCTTGGAATTTGCACCACTCTAAGGCAATCAAAATTATACGTATATATATATAATACATACACACGTATTTATTATGTAAAGAGAGAGAGATTTGAACTAGGGTCCAAGCACCAAGTTGTAGTATTATCCCTAAATTGTATGTACATATACAAATAGATTTTCAATTGTAGCTTGTTTCATTGTTATGTTGATTTGTGGACAATATTCAAGCGCGCACCGATCTCCATTGTATATTATTTTATACGTATCATCGCGTACTTATAGAGTTAGTGAACAGAAGAGTGGTGGAGGTGTGGCGTTCCCGGGTTCCCGCCCGCATCCACCACATCATTGACGTTAAAATTGACTTGATGCAATCTTTGGCATTTTTTTTTCTTTCCCTAATTTCCTAAGACTCCAACGCCTTCTCTTCCATCCCGTACTGCTCCTCCACTTCACAGAAATTCATCAGTTCTCCTTCTTGACACGAGCGATTCCCGCCCTCACGTACCTCACCAGCTCTTTCAGCGAACTGTGCAACGACAACGGCATACAGTGGCGATCCAATTCGATAAAAAAGTCTGAAATCAAACATGAAGATATTCAATATTTTGTTCATATATAATTTGTTCTGTTTCGTTTGTTTCGTCTACTAACCGACATGTTTTCCTTTGACTATACTATCCGCCTGATCCCAGAGATCCTGGCAGGATAAGAAGTAACCCATATTATTGTCCAGCTTCAGGATGCAGGCGTTGACTGTTAATGGCACGAGCACGCAGGTGACTGGAGGCGGAACTGGAATGGGGTTGTGTAACGGTGCCGAGGCGGAAGACGATTGGCTGCTAGGACGTCCGGCCACCAACTCGCTGCTTCCGTAGCCCGACGATTGGCTGCCCACCGACCCTACGCTACCCGCTGGCGATGGCGTCGGCGACAACGGGGAAGGCGTTCCTTGTCCCTGCGCCACCACCAGCTGACCCGGCTGTCCGCTCGCCAAACAGTGCATCTGCTCTGGTGGCACATGAATAATGGTAGCCTGACCTTGTTGGATTTGCTGTTGATGTATGCACTGCTTAAAATAAAAACAAACCACAAATAAGCATCAACGAGAACTCGCCACATCCGACTCGATCAAATAACATACCTTATTGTTGTATTCCAATATAACCTTCTGGCACTCTTTCGACTCCTGCTTCTTCATTTTAAACAATTTAAAATAGAGTAATGCCTGACACCGATAACTGCAAACAAAAAGAAACATAGACGTTTTAATATTATCGTCAGATTTCCAGCTAACAAAAAAAAAACTTACCTTAATACCGCCAATTTATTGTGTACAGGAGAAGTTAACTGCTGATTTCTAAACTTCGATGATATAAACCTGCAAAAAGAGAGGAGCGGAAACTCGAATATTAGTATCACATCGAATATAGAACAGTATAGTGAGTAGTGTATAATACATATGTGTTTATAATTGATGACAGGAGACTTACTTAATTAAACTAAGGGTGTCCTTGTACATTGTAAACGCCGCCTTCTCCGAATAGTTTTCGTGTTCCATGGCGTTTCCGGTGAGAAGAAAATAGAGAACCGCCTCTAGGTATAACATGCACTGTTTAATAGTGTCACCTTCTTTGTCAGCCGAGCGCTTTAGCCTCTTGGCTTCATTCAGGTACGTGTTTTGGTCTCTGCAAAAAGCAACACACAGAATTAATATTTTCTCTTTAGCAAACTTTATTTTCTACATCTACAACTACATGCTTCTGTGTTTCTTTCTATCTACATCTCTTCCTTCTACTTTCTTTGCCTCTTCCTTTACTCTTCAACTCTGTCATTAACAATGTGAACATGAACTTTAGCTGTTTATTTATTTATTTATTTATTCCGATTTGAAATTGTCAGTGATTACAACATATTGGAAAAAAGAATATTAATGATGAAAAAATGTTACAGTTTACAAGGCCATCTGTTCACTTTATTAAAAACGAGTTTCAGCGAGGGGCGTCGTATTCTGTAGATTACTATGAATAAATGGTGTGCGTATGTATGTACCGTTCTTCGTCGGAGAGCTCATCGGCCTTCTCAAAGTACGAGTGGTACTCCCTGGGAGGAGGTTGAGACCAGCTGCTTCCGTTGCTACGCTCGGCTGAGGAAGGCAACGGTGGAGTGCGTGGTCCTTCGTGCTGCTGCTGCTGCTGTTGCTGGTGGTGGCTGTTATGATGATGATGCTGCTTGCCGGAGGATGCAGCTGCAGCAGTCGCTAAGGAGGAGGAGGACGTGGAGAAGGTGTTCGTTTCCGTCTCTCCGTCTTTCCTCCTTTTGCTCTTATGTCCACCACTTTTGTGCTCCTTTTTATGGCTGTTGCTATTATAGGACATGCTGCTGACCGTCGACATCGACGACATGCTGCTACTACAGCTATTGTCGCGTTTCCGTTTTTGCTGGTGATGGTGGTGTTGGTGTTGGCTGCGATGCCTGTGGTGACTCTTCATTTCGGATGACGAATCCGTCGACTTTATTATCGACTTTTTATTAAATTCACTATCGCTGTCGAGCGTCATCGCCGTTGCAGCAGCGGAGGTCGTCGTCGCGTTCGTCGTCCTCGCGCACTTACTGTCCGCCTCACTATCACTATGCTTAAGATCACTGCTCATTTCGCGCGTTTTTTTGTGCAATTGCTGCTTCCGTGTTGCGTCCATGGAAGCATCACCGTGGGGTCGACCCGGATCGTCCGATCGTTTCTTCGGAGGAACGTAAGAGAGTCGCGAGAGATCGATTCGCACCATCAGACTCGGTTTTTCGCTACTTTGCGTTTCAGTCTTTTTTATCTTCAATGGAGGCGGTTGCGTGCTCTTCAGCTCGTCGTGCGCGGGTGTTTGCTGGATGACATTTGGTGAGACTCTCACGTCTTCCACCGAGGAACTACTCCTCTCGTAGTCGCCGTCCAACACTATCACATTCACCCCGCATTTGCCTTTACCTTTACCGCCTCCCTTGCCGCCGGCACCCTCGTGGTCCCGCTTAGTCGACATGAACAACTTTCTAAGAGTGTCCGTTTTTTTCTTATCTTGTCGTTCGGTCTGAACTTTTTTACTCGAATCAGCCGAATCGGAGTCGCTGTCTGAGCTCGAGCTCGACGAATGCGCCTTAATCACCGGTGCGGGTTTCTTGTTCTTTCTACCAGCATCTGAGTCATCAGAATCGGTGTCTGTTGTTGTTGGCAAAAGAGCAGCGCTCTTCAGACCCGAATTCGACCGTCCCTTTCGCTTCACCGGTACCGTCGTTTCCGTCGTACACGACGTCTCCGTCGGTCTCCTCGTTGTAGCTGCAGCTTCTTGACTTTTGTCAAATAAAAACTTCTTTGTTTTAACCTTACCCGGCTGACCGATATCCTGGGATTCAGTTTCCATTTTTTTTCGTTTCTTCTCCTCGCTACGAGGAGATTTATGTTTTAGTGATTTTTTTGTCGTCGGTGCCTTCTTATGAGACTTTTGGGAGACATCCGAGTCCGAACTTGAAGAGGAATCCCTTTTAGGGAGTGAGCGATTTGGAACAGATAATGGTTTCTCCAAGGTCTGTTTGGTGGGTCGATGGTCATCATCATCATCATCTGATGAGCTGCTCAGTGATGGTGGTCTTTTCGGTTTTAGTGGTGGCCTCCCTCTCTTCTTGATGGCGGGCGTCGTTGTATCGTTCTCTGAGCCACTTGGAGAGTTTCTTGTTTTAGAACCTGGCGGTCTCCCTCGTCTTTTAGTTTTTATTTCCTGATCTGAACCGCCCTTCACTTTCCTCGGACGACCGCGATTCGTTTTCGCTTTAACGATTACCGGTACTTCCGGTTTCTTTATTGGCGCCTCGTGACGCTTGTGGATGTTGTCGTCGCTGCTGTTATCCAATAGCTGCGACTTTTGTATGGACATAATAGGTGGAGCAATGCTTTTCGCCGGAAGCTTTGTCCTCGTCTTGGCTTCCACGTCACTACCACTATCAGACACAATAGGCACTTTCGACTTCGCTTTAACGGGCAAACGTTTCTCCTTTTCGTTCTCGGAGTCTGAGTATCGCGACAGGGGGGCAAATGAGATGATCGTCGAGGCGAAGGCCTCTCGCACAGCCCGATCCAGATCGACGCTGTCCAGGTCATCAGCTGAAGCTGGAGTCTGGTGGTTACGAACTTCTGGTAATGGCGATAGAAGAGGTTGAGGGTCGTGGCTCACGGCATTCCTTTCCATGTAGGAGCCGAGATTCCAACGGTGCTTGGACTCCTCCTCCACAACCATCATCTTCGGAGAGGCAGGTATCGGTTCGAGGACGGCGGGGACTGGGACGACTGCACCCACCGAAGCAGGAACGCCCTCCTCCGTCGAATCATCACTAGAGGAGTCGCTCTCCGATCCTGAACCCGTGTCCGAACCCGATCCGCTAGATGAACTCATGGATGAGAGTGGTGCTACCATCGGTGGAGGTGGTAACCTATCCACCTGCATCGAACTACTTGCCGGTGTCCTAGCTATAGGCGATAACATCCTAAAAACAAAGAAAAATAAATCAACTGCATAAAACGTACGTCTCCACCAATTTCATACAATTAAAACTATTCAAGTGAAACACTGAACACGATCACAATATCGCGGTTCTATAAATTGTGATGTGAAGAAGACTGACATCGCCAACTTGAAAAGAAAAGCGTTGTCATACTTCTTACAGTAGATTCAGATCATGTCGATCCAATTATATAGTTAACATCTAGATTTTAACACAACAGGTGTGCTCAAATCCAAGATGATGATATTCGAGCAGATTATAAAACAGGATGTAGTATATACATAATAATAATATTAATAAAGTATGTGGAATATGTTGAGTAGACAAATCGCGAGAGTTTTTCGTACAAGTGGAGGAACTACCGCGAATGCACTGAAGGAGTGAGTCGCGAGCGTGCGTACGAGCCGCAGGTCGACGACCTAGCACCGCAGCAAGAGATACTACTTAGGTTCTATTTAACCCTATATACATTGGAACGAAGATTCCACTAAACGGAAAAAAATCAAAAACGGCAAGAGTTTGCGAGAGAGAGAGTGTAAAATGTTATACTTACATTGGTGGCGGAAAGAAGGCTGTCGGCGCAGACGACTGCTGCGGTCGGTCCCGTTCTGCAACAGAGAAAGAAACAAAAAAAAGACGATTAAATAGTGCTCCTTAAGGTGGTAGTGTTGGGAGGAAACGGAGGGCAAGGCGGCATGCACCCGTGCCACGATGATGGTGGTAGTGACCACCTGTTTGTAGTGCTACGGGGCGGACGGTCTGCTCTTCCTCCCATCATCTACTCTCTTTGTCTACTACTTCGTCTTCACGTTCACCTGCGGACAGGTGGTGAGGACTCGCGAATTGACAACAAAGAGTGTGTGAGGGAGAAAGACAAAGAAAAGAGGAAAATGGGATCAAAAAGGAAAATCAAACTATGAAAGGTGGCGCGCGCCCGAGCGAAAGTGTGCGCGCGTATCGATTGCACACGACGCTTGGACTTGGACTACAAATTTAATTGCCGATCGAAAAATGGGCCAATTGCCGTCATCAGGTGATGACCCAATTCCGTTAGGCGCGCGAAACTTTTCCCCTCGATATTTTCATCGTCATCTCATCGTCAAATGAAAATAGTAGTAGTTGAAGAGCGAGAAGGAAGGAGCAGGTGGAAAGCGTTTCTTCATCGGTTCTCTTTTCTGCATGTGCGAGGAGGAAAGTAGGTAGGCATCGTTTGCCACCACTGCCTAACGGTACACAATCCGCACGACGGGTCCTTTCAACTCTACCACCACCACCACAACCTCTACTACTACTATTTACAACTACTACTACAACAACAACATTAAACAGCAAAGTACTGCATTTGTTGAAGGAGGAGGCGGCGGTGGCTGGCTGGCAATTAAATTCGGGTAGGACAAACAAAGAGAGTCCATCCACGGAAGAGGAGACAAAAAAAAGTATATGTTTCAAGGTTTTTCCTGGCCTTACCGCGTTCCGTGGTGCGCAGTGCACACCGGCGCAGACATGTGGCGGTCTGTGCCAAAACAAAAGAACATTCAAAACAATCACCAAACGGCACGGCAACGACAACCCCCCCGAAATAAAAACAAAACAGAATCTTATAACAATCACACTGGGGGGATGTTACGATTTTCGTCGTCTTGCAACTTTAAACAACAACAACAACGCAGAATCGGTGGACTGCAGACTTCCTCGATGGTTCTACTACTAACAACGACGAGAGCGGTATTAGCATTTTGCCATTACGTAAGTTTAGTCGGGCACGACGACCGTTTGCACTGTTGCCAGTCGCTGACGAGACTGCATCGTGAGGCCGTTGCAGTCCACAACGAAACCCAAGGTTCGTCCCTTCTTTCACACAGCAGCCCCCCCTAAAAACGCACACCCGTCCTTTTCCTTCTTTCTTTCTTTTTCTCTTGTTCCCTTTTATAATGTTTACACGCACCGAATTGGGGGGGGGTTCGTTTTTTTTTTGTTTTCGTATAAGAAACGGGGATGAAGGAGAAGGGATGGGAAAAAGAGCGCGAAGGGTTTTTTTTTTCTCAAAAATGCATCAACAGAAGAAGAGTACTTACTTTTGGTTGGCATCGGCGAGAGTGAAGACATTTCGGCCAGCTATAACAAAAAAAAAAGCAAAAAAAATTAATCCCTGAAGCAATTTGAGTTTTAGACAGTCTGCATTTACCTTCGCCAGGTCAGGGTTGTAGCTGTATTTGCTATCAGTTTCTATCCTAGGTGTCGCCGCTATCGCCGTAAGCGGCGTCTTCATGTTTATCATCTCCTACAGAACACAAAAGCATACAATTACTATTTCTGCTGGATCTTCAAGTACAAATAAATAAACACTTTCAAGCTATTTTATATGTTATGATTTGAATTTGAAAATAGAAAGTAAATGTTGGCGTACTTTGAAGATGTTCCCCAATTCTTGAGATGCTGGTGTGGCGCTGGGATCTCTGATAGTCTGTGGCTGTTTACAAACAAATTCAATAAAGATAATGAGTATAAGCATTATGTTGTTTTTTTTTTCTTCTTCCTGAAATTACCTGAGTGGGTGTCCTCGTCCTGGTATGAGACCTGGAGGATGGGCCACCGATGGGCGACGTAGAGGAGGGTGGTTGCAGCAAGGACGAAGAGGACGACGACGATGGTGGTCCCTTAGGTGGCAGAAGTCCGTTCGACCGGTTTTTGATTGGCTGACCGGGATAGGAACTTCTGCCGCCCTCGTGGGGCGGTTTTCCTTCGGCGGCGGGTTTCACGTAACCGCCCCTGCTGCTCCCCGCTGCGGCAGCCGGGGCGACCACCTGATGATGGCCGCTACCACTTTGACCTGGAAGACGACCTCCGCTCCCCGTCGGCTTTTTAAATTCTCCTGTCTGGAAGCGCTGAGCGACAGCGGTACTCTCCAGATATTCTTTATAATCGCCCAAGGTATTGCGTATATTTTGCGTCAGCCTATCATCCGTAGACGGATCCACCTGTTAACGGAAAGATGCAAATGCGAGATAAGTCAAGGGCACAAATAAATCAAAGAGATTAGACAAAGATTACATGCATCTTGCTAATTAAGATTTTAACAAGTATTATAGTAAAATTCATACTCAAACTAAACCATATATTACCGAAACTAATAATAATAAAAAAAACATTTGAAGTACATCCCATTTCGTTCATTTTGAATAAAGAAAAATAGTCAACCAATGACGATCAAAAAGGAATGGGCGTCGTTGATCTGAACGACCAATGAGCAAAAAATTTAGAACATATTCGTCGTTAAAAAAAAGGAGGCGGATAGTTTTATTTATTTGCACGCATTCGTTCACTATTTATTGGTTCAATTTTGCCATTGAAATTTGATATTCACGCATTTCTTTGTTTGTTTTTTTTTTTTGCAAAAGAAGGTGATAACCCTAATTGGAATCCAGAATCTCTTATAATTAGATCGTGGAACAAACGGGAGGAGCGATCTGTCGTTATTGAGGGAAGCAATTAATTACATGGTGATTTACAATGGAGCTTCTTCTTTTTATTCTTCGCGAACGAGACCGGCTCCTCCGGTGCTGCCGACCACAAAAAGCGTGATACGTTCCTTCTCTACCTCCCCCCCCCAACCCTCGATTACAAGACCGCCACCGTTCCTTTTGCTCCCATTAAGTTTATTCTTCGGCGACGACGACAACAACATTTATTATTTTGAATTCTTTCGTTCGAATTATTCCGATTCCGCGGCGAACGTCTCCATCTCTTTCCCTCAATCTCTCATCACTTTTTTTTCTCTCTATAAATTTTCTTTTCGAAAGAGCGCGCGCGCGCGCGCCATCTCTGCACACGTTATTGCTATTAGTCACTTGGTTATTTATAAAATAGTTCCGTAGGCCAATGAATTTGATTTCGACCCGCTCATCCAAAGACGACACGATTCTCGCACTCATACTGTTTGATCATATTATCATTAATAAACTAAACTATATTAGATAATTATAAATTTTCAATTTTGAACAAAATCGAGTATCAATTACACTTTAGACCTGTCAAAATCTGATTTCTGGATTAAGTCCGTTGGGATGAGATGTCAATGTTCGATAATTGGGCTGTCAACACGTTTCATTTGATTGGTTAATATTTGAATAGCGAAATGGACACGTAATTTAAAGTCAAAATTTAATTTACAATTAATAATAATTATCTAATGATGAAATGAATTAAACGATAAGCAAAAAATATTTTCGTGTTATGTCTTTGAAGCTATGACGTAACTGAATTTTAAAATTAATTAACTAAAAATGTTTTGTAATACTCGAAATGAATGGATTGTGTCGAAATCGAAGATGTTTTTTTGTTTGTTTGTTTGTTTGTCCGAACAGATGAGACAACATTCTGTTACAACCCTAATTGCACGATTATTAAGTGAGCAGAAGATGAAGAAGGCAGCAGCAAACAAAGAGGCGCGCACCAGGAAACGATCCGAAGAACGATCGTTCTTCCTCCTGCGAAATAATGCCAGAGTCACGGTTCGCATGCTGCAATACATTCGCGTCGTGCCAAGATCGTCCTACCATTCAGCAGGTTTAATTCCTATTCATTTCGTAGCCGCAAATTCGTCCATCGTCCATTGTGCTGCCGTCTCTACACATACACACACACTCGCGAAAACATTTGGCAACCGGCGTCGCAACCGAACCGGGCGTGTTGCGTAATCATTAAAATATACATATTGTTGTTGTTGTTTTTATTGATAAACCAAAGGCGCGGAATATGAACGTGTTTCGCATCAAATGGATTCTCTAGGTCTTATCGCGCTCATTGATCATTAACCGAGTGAAGAGAACAATATATACATGAAGAATGTTCTCACTTTTATTTTTATTCCTGCCTGTGAGAACGAGAAATTATCGATTTACCAAAATTAACCGAAACAAAAAAGAAAAAAATGACTAACTAAATGTAAACACCCTGTAATAATTGAACTAGATTTCATCATTGTTAGGTAATGCAACGATGAGCGCTGCTTTCCGGTGTAGCAGCAGCAGCAACAACAGCTCGAACAAAAACGGAACTGTTTATCGAACTTGTTGATGGAAACTCGATGCATTCACTCGATGCACCCTTCAGATCTTATTCAAATAGCGCTGAAATCCATACGCCGCGCGCTTACTCACACGCAAAAGCGCGCCGTTAGAAATTGTGAAACTGGTCGCCATTAAAATTCATTCCTAATTGGGTTAATTGAACGAAACGCTCGATACTTGTTACACACGAATCGCTTACATCGAGACATTTACTTTCTTCGAAGAATTAAAAAAAAAACAACGAAGTTTTTCTTTCATTCTGTCGCGCTCTGATTGGGAAACCTATTTTTGGATACACTCCCGACGTTTAAATTTAGTTTTTTTTTTGTTGTTGTTGAGAACGCGAAGGGTTGCAACATCATTCAAATACATTTTATACAAACTTTGATACCGAATAGTAAATTAATTTTGTTAAATATACAATGAATTAACTATATCTAAATCAAAATGGTAAAACTTATGTAATCTTGAAAATGAAAAAGCGCGTAAAGTTGCCTAAATCTTTGCTCACAAACAAACAACGATTTTTCTTTTTTTGCAGACGTGATGCGTTATTTAGATATCAATTTGACTTACCCTGACTAGATTGCCGAACAGAGGAGACGCTTCCTGTTCTACTTGTTGGGAGGACATTTGTGCCCTCGCTTTCCGCTCCCTTTCGCGGAGGCGATCCCTCTCCACACTGAAAAAAAAACACAAACGAAACAACATTAGTTACGTAAAACAATAGTAAAAAAAAAGCAAGCGTGTATTTGAGCGTAGTTCAGTAGAGCCGAAGCAATCAAAGATGAAACTAAAATAAAGAAAATGTTTATACCAATCAGAGGATGGTTTTCTTATATAGAAATACATTGGAATCACTTGTTTTAGTTGTTACACGCACGATCACAACATTACGAATGATCTTCAATTTTTTTTTGTTTTGAACTTTTTTCAATAACCTAACGATACTTTTCTGCTATCACCACTAACGATACTTTAAACTGTTTACTTTAAACCGCAGTAGAAGTTCAAAACAGCACTGTTAAAAATCACCGAAAAATCTCTTGAAATGTTCACCTACAGAGGACAGTTGCAGACTGATTATGCGATTTCCTAGCTTGCGCTGTGTTATCATGTGAAGGCAAGGTATTAAGGGTGGTATAGAGTGGTGGGGGGAGGAGTGCGCTTACGCATTTTTATCTTTTTACAACACCAATAAACTAATTTCAAGGTTCGTGCGAATTTCTTGCTTTGCTAATTGCCGTTCTGCAAACAGGCTTGAAAATCTGGACACTTTTGCAAAGTGTATTATTACTAGTATTGATTAGATTTCTTAAGATTAGATAATCTTCATTTGACATGTAAACAGTTGATTCTTCGATTAACTACTAGATTGTTTAAAAGTAGTCTAAATGATGAAAATAAAATAATGAAAAATGTTATACCTATTTGCAGGTGGTCTACTAAGGTAGACGTACATGGTAAGCACTTTTTTCAGATGTTACTCGCAGGATCACAACTTGAAGAATGATTTTGTAAAACTTTTTTTCAACTAAATAACCGACTTCTCACGACTAACGAAAATTTAAACTATTTGCTTTAAACCGTAGTAGTTCAAAATTGCACTGTTAAAAACCAACTGGTGATCTCTTGAAGTGTCACCTCCAGAGAACAGTTGCAGACTGATTAAACATTGAAAAATGGAATTTAAATTCAAAATAAGTTACATAAAGTGGTGGTGGGGGAGAGTGCGTTTTCGGATTTTTTACAACATCCCCTATCAATAAACAAATTTTAGGGTTCAAGCGAATTTTTGCCTTTTGCAGTTCTCCGAACAGTTTATCCCGGAATGGTAAAGCACGTAAATTTACACACACGTTGATAACGTTTTCAACAATTTAATTACTTTTATGCAGAGTGCATTATCATTAGAATTGATTAGATTTCTTAAGATTGGTAAAACGTGACAATGATACCCTTCATTTGACAAGTAAACTGTTGTTTCTTCGATTAACTACTAGATTGTTTAAAAGTAGTCGAAATGATGAAAATAAAATAAAGAAAATGTTATACCTATTTGCAGGTGGTCTACTAAGGTAGACGTA